CCAAACTTTCTGGGATTCCATGATTTCCTTCCCTCCCCATGAAGCTCACCCTGTTTCCCTGGCTTGGCCGTGTCCCCAGACTCCCAGTTCCACCTGGTGAAATCCCAGAATCCTGGAATATTCAGGCAGGAAGGGCTCTCAGCCCCCTCCCTTGGGCAGGGATTCTGCTGTCCCAGGCTGCTCCAAGCCCTGTCCAAGCTCCAGGGGCGCTCCCAGGGCCCAGGAGCTCCAATGTCCCCTCCTTGTGCCCCGCAGTCCCGGCAGACCCCGGAGGGAGAATTCCTGCCCCTGGACCAGCTGGAGCTGGACGTGGGCTTCAGCACGGGGGCTGACCAGCTCTTCCTGGTGTCCCCCCTGACCATCTGCCACGTCATCGACTCCAAGAGCCCCTTCTACGACCTGTCCCAGCGCAGCATGCACACGGAGCAGTTCGAGATCGTCGTCATCCTCGAGGGCATCGTGGAGACCACGGGTGAGTGGGGCCGGCCTGGTGGAGTTCCCTGCTGGAGCTGCACAACTCGGGGCTCCCGTGGCTCTGGGCAGGGCTGGGGAGCTGGGGGGCAGCTGGAGCAGGGGCTTGCTCAGAGGGGTTTTGGTGTTGGGGCTCTCTTCAGGGTGTTCTCTTTTGGTGTTCTCTCCAAGGGGATGGATTTTGGGACTGGGGCTCCCTCCAAGGAGATGGATTTTGGTGTTCTCTCCAAAGGGATGGATTTTGGTGCTCTCTCCAGGGAGATGGATTTTGGTGCTCTATCCAAGGGGATGGATTTTGGTGCTCTATCCAAGGGGGTGGATTTTGGTGCTCTGTCCAAGGGGATGGATTTTGGTGCTCTGTCCAAGGGGATGGATTTTGGTGCTCTGTCCAAGGAGATGGATTTTGGTGCTCTCTCCAAGGGGATGGATTTTAGTGCTGGGACTCTCTTCAGGAGAATGGATTTTGGTGTTTTCCAAGGGGATGGATTTTGGGTCTTTTTCCAAGAGGATGGATTTTGGCACTGGTGCTCTCTCCAGGGAGATGAATTTTGATGCTCTGTCCAAGGGGATGGATTTTGGTGCTCTCTCCAAAGGGATGGATTTTGGTGTTCTCCAGGGCATGGATTTTGGTGCTCTATCCAAGGGGATAGATTTTGAGGCTCTCTCCAAGGAGATGGATTTTGGTGCTGGGCCTCTCTCCAAGGGAATGGATTTTGGCCCTGGGACTCTCTTCAGGAGAATGGATTTTGGTGTTTTCCAAGGGGATGGATTTGGGGTCTTTTTCCAGGAGGATGGATTTTGGCACTGGTGCTCTCTCCAGGGAGATGAATTTTTGTGCTCTATCCAAGGGGATGGATTTTTGTGCTCTATCCAAGGGGATGGATTTTGGTGTTCTCCAGGGGATGGATTTTGGTGCTCTATCCAAGGGGATGGATTTTGGTG